CGCTGTCTCATTTGATATGCCCAAAGGAGACACAAAGTCTCCCGTAACTCATCCCGAAAAAGAAGTTGAGGTCGTAATTGGGTCACTGGAAGATTATTGTAGATATATGTCGAGATATGTGTCAGGAAAAACTATTTAAGCCAAATGTAATAAAATTTTTTGAATAGTCTGCTGTTAATGTGTACAAAGGGGTAAAAAAACACTTGTTAGGAACTCTTCGATGATCGTTAACAAGGAAAAATAACTGTGAGCGAACTTAGAAGAAGAATGTGTCATGATCCCAAAATGGTCATGAAACTATGCTCTTCCAGTAAGCAAACAGTATAGAAATCAAGTTTTAAGCAACTGCAAAAAAAAACTCACCAATGGTTTAGTAGCTCCGCACTTGTACAGAAAGGCAATGAATAAGCAATGGTCAATATACAATTAGTAGTGTGGTTTCAAAATAGTTGGTAAGGCCAAAGAAGTCGAAAACCCGCTCAAAAACGGAAGAGAATGGGTGGTTGGGCGACCAGTACGCAATTCGGCGTCTACGGAGGCGTCCTACTATTGTGGGTCGATCAATGATGCGAGTCAATTACGTAGCTGTGGACGAGTTCTCCGGTCCAAGGGAGCGGCTGCCCAGGCTCAGGGAGGTGTCAATTAGCGTCCAGCAGCGTCCCAGTTACGGTAGGACAGCTGCCAGCCACGCCATACGACCGCCTCCCGCGCAGGTCTCCAATGTTTTGTGAGAGTACAGAAGAACGGATGGTACTAGACTGAGTGAAGGCAGCGCCTACCCTCCCTTTATCCTATACTCTCTCAAAACAGTAGCGACCGACGCCAATCGATACCCGCCTATGGCTACATCCCCATCATTGAAGCGCTGCTGCAGTTGTAGCTTGCCTATGCACGTTACAGCACGTCATCGAGAACTATGAACGCTGTCTGAACTATGAAAAAGCACTGGCACATAGTTCTTGGTAACGGATATCGACTACGCTGCTTTCGCTATTACATTTCAACGTTGACAGTCACAGAACTCAGTGGACTTATTTTTAAAGAGGGGAGTACCTGGTCGATAATCTCCTGAAGATCACAATCTGCCTCTTTGATTTGTGAATCAACACTGATCAGCATTTGCATACTGAAAAGAAAGTATGTTTCCAACGTAATTAACTGAGCTTGGAGTCATAATGAACACATACAGCTGCTGCCTCTTGGTGTCACTTGGAGTGGCCGAGAAAGGCGTCTACAGGGAGATCGTGATTCTGATCTGTCCAGTCAGGGAGACCTAGCGCCTTCTCTAATTCGGTGACAGCGGAGTCTAGCGCTACAAAAAGCACATTCATTCCTACACTGGGATATTTTAATGAACTCAGAGCACTTACCTTTTTGTTCTTCAGTGATACATCCCATATTATAGATCATTTTGCTTTGCTTTTCTTCTAATGAAACCAATTTTGCATCAACATCAGAGATCTGCAGCGTAATATGGTACTCTTAAGCATTTGACCGATGAATATTAAGAATCATCACACTTTGCGACGGCGTTTCGCGCGTTTTCAGCGTCAGCGCTGTGAGTGAGCGTCTATCAGTATTTCCAGAGGTAATCGATACCTACACCTTTCTTAGACGCTCAAGCGCTGACGAACGCTCAAAGCGCCGCCGCAAAGTGTGAACACATATTGTGCTGTCTGTAACCCTCATCGGAACCTCAATGGTGTACACCCTAGAGAAGCTCGATATCTACTGCAAAGCTTTAAAGACTTCTGAGGGCAAAAAAAAGTCTGCAGGACTTTATCCGAATGTTTTGCCTCACAAGTTCCTCGTGAACGACTGGAAATACACCGAATTTAGTGCAAAGTTATAACATCGCCCGCCTGGGAAAGGTATTAGGTACTTAACAATTCGGAAGGTTCTTAGAAGGAACTGTGGCTACATTTTTTGGAGTCTTCGAAGCTCTTAAAAGAAATTTCTGGCCACTTCATGCTGTACAATAATTAGATCCTCACCCTTTGCATATTCTCCCATAGCTGCCGGTCGTATGCATTCAGCTCCAACAAGCAATTCAAGAAAGCCCGTTCATCGGTGGCAAGATCCAATGTCATCTTCTGAGTGATCTGTAATCGTTAAGTGTTGTAGGCTCCTGGTTTTCCACTCACATGAGGACCTCACAGGAGTGATCTTCAGTCTTTAGAAAGCTATCCTACCTTGGAAATAGGGAAAGAGGGGAAGGGGGGGGGGGGGGCATTCAAAGAGCACCTCATGGGATTGCTACAAATTCGTGAAATGGGACCCGTTAACCATTTTTTTCATGGGAATGAGGTTCCGCATTTCAGACTATTCAACTTAAGCCTGAGAGACTGACGAACCACAATGGTCCGTCTGGATAAGAGACGAAACCAATCACCTTATTATTCTCAGTCTTAATATTGAAGACTCCATTATGTTTTTCTTCATTGGACCATCGGAGTCCATGGAATGTCCCAGCCGCTTGTCTCTCCTATTTTGATAGTCTCCAGTCACATTCCTGCACCAGTTCTATGCGCAGCCACAGACAGAGCCTACGTCTGTCGTACGGACGGAATGTGCTCTCCATCTCAATGGTGAAATCGTTATCTGCCCCTTCGCTCCCCCACCCCTTTATGGTAATCATACTGTGCCTTCAAGTCTGATCCTTTGTAGTGAAGTTGTACACAACTGTAAACAGGACACAGACCAGAGCAAGAAGAGGAGTTTTTTGGAGGAGGAGGTGCTCAGATGCCCCTGAGCCGGAGGGAAGAAGGGATTGCTGCTTCGATGAGAGTACAAGAACAGGCAATTGAAGCCGCTAGGGTCTCAAGCTCTTGAAGCAGAACCCTCTTCAACTACGGTAGAGGCGTAAAAAGAAAACTCTGCAAGACGGCAAAGTCACCATATCAATTATCAGAAAGCAGTCATTCGTATGCAATGGGAGGAATCTCAAATAGTCACCAAAGTCTTTACCACCACTTCTTCGAAATGAATAGCGTACCGCAGATAGATCGGCGAAACTGATTTCGGTATCTGCGGTCATGCTTGCAAGAAGCTGAGAGCAGGCCGAACCGACAGATCCCTCCTTTTCCAATAACGTTTTCAACGACGACCCAGTTGTGGCATCTGCACCACCAGAATCAGTCGCAGCTCTGAAAATCAGCACCTAAGCAAGATCATCTAAGTAAAAGCAAGAGCCTGAAACATACGCTGTGCTAGACTCGACTGGTCTAGAAGGAGTCTGTGGCGTGGTTGAAAAGGAGGTTGCTGAAAAAAATGATTGGCATTTTCAGTGCGCGTTCATATTAGGTCATCCCATTCAAAAGTGCCGTCGGTTTTATTCGAATAAAACAAAGAGGAGAATAGATAAAAAGTAATATTTTGGCTTTGAGTTAAGTAGATCCCTCCTTCACCAATGACCCGCTCCCAGTGCCCCGAAAGCGTTTGGACTGGTACCTTCGTTTTTTCAACAAGTGCGAGTAAATTGCTGTTGATGCCAATTTCGGCGAATGACAAAACGTTGTGAGCGTTTGCCGTCGGAGAGTACCCTCGACTGACCAGAACAGTTGGAATCGAACGGCTTTATGTTGGGCGAATGGGGCGATTGAACCCAGGTCTCAGTATTGTTTGTGTCCCAGCACTGCCCTACAATACAGTTACTCGGGGTCTGGCACTATGACGAGCAACGGTGGCCTTCTTGTAGTTGTGTGGTATCATCCATTTGTCGATCTGATTGCCGAGGAACAGGCAATATACACCGACAGCGACGATTTTATTCTCTGTAGAGCCGCCTGAAAGCCACAGTGTGGGAATCCTTCGCTATGATGATCATCCACTTGCGCCCACGTAACTCTTCATGGTAGAACTCGGGCGGCTTCATACAAAATTGACGATTGTGAGTTTTGGCTCGAGGTCCAAGACCACCCATATTTCATCTAGGGCCGGGGTGCGTTTTCACAGTCGTGAATGACATCTCATGCTGAGAACATTACTGCTAGAGGCACAGAATAGGTACTGCGTTCGTGCTTCTACAAGAAAATTAGGTACCCATGCGCACACCCTCTTGACCATCCTCAGTTTATCGGACATAACTCGGGCAGCAGTTGCAGCTGGGATGTCAGACTCGCGGGGAAGCTCGACAAAGGTCCAGGCTCTGGGATCAGACATTCAGCGCTTGACTTCATCCACCCTTTTTTCTTGTGCAGGATGAACATTATGGGACCATCCACGACAACAAATTTTTTCCTTTCTTCCTTCTTCGGGCTCCTGAACCAACCTAACACCTTGTATCTCGAGAGCACCATTACACAAAACTACTGGTCCGATGCAGGTCGAATTTGAGCAGCGCACTTTCCTCTTATGACGCCTGATTTGAAAATCCGGCGCTGATTTTCACCACTCGGGCTTCTTTTCAATTTCTCGAGAACTTCTTCTGTGGTAGGTTCGCCAAATTTCACAGATACACAGCTAAAGGTACTAGCCTCCAAATGGTATAGTAGCCCGCTTCCCTATCCCCTTTGCTTTTCTGCCATTCCTCTATATGTCTCGGCACTTTTGAATGGGATGACCTAATACTTCGCAAACTGACCGCGAGCGATCCGTTCGCGAAGTATGGACACGCTTTTAGATACATATTCGCTACTGTGATATATGAATAGCGCGCATGAGTGAGCTTCGGACGTGATTGTGCGCTAGAGTTGGAGAGCCTGAACTGGCGCTTTTCTAGGTTTTAGGACCGGAATCACTATGTTGGTGAGGGGAAGAACTCAAACGACCGGAGCTGCCGTAGTCGCCTTGCTTTCTAGGTGTGGGCCCCCTCCAACTAAATTAGTGCCCGAGATTGTTACCTCGCCAACCTAAGGGTATCGAGCTATGAGAGTTTCGATAACTAATAGATATGGTGCACACTTCAGTTCCAGTAGTGTGGAACATCTCGGTGCAAAGCAGTGAAACCGTTCACTTCTCGGGCGCTGTTCGGCTTAGAGGATGGGGAGCTTGAGGATGCACTTTCGCGAGTTTCTCTTGCCAGATTTTGTTAAATATAACATGGGTCACTTTTGTGAGGCCTGTAGATTTCACGCCATAAGTGAGCAAGCTCATCCTATTGCATAGCTTTTTAGCTGCCCAGGTATTCATAGGAGGCATTGGTAGTGACCAAATTAAGTAGCAAATGCCCCCTCTAAGCCGAACTGCGCCATTACTTGTAGAGATGACACTGGGAATCCTATGGCAGAACTCTTCTCGGTTTATGGTTAGCCAGAGATACTCCCATCCTGGAGCGCGACTCACACCTTTTAGCACCCAACCTCCCTCCCCCTTTACTAGTATAGCACCAAAAATGGTTCAACAGCAGAAGCCAGAGGACCGAAAAACTAACCACCGAAGGACAGTGGAGCTTGGGTTGTTGCTGATGACGTAACCGGAGCTGCAGTTGAGAAGACTGAAATTTGATCAGTTAAACAGCAGAAGGAGAATATGATATCAAAATTAGTGGCAGGCAGCTAAAGTTCATGATTTTATGCAAATTTCTACAAGCTGCGAAAAAGACGAACTCTGAGCAAGGCCTTGAAGAAGCACCAAGATGGGAAATGATGGTGCATTCAAGATCGTTCTTTATAATGAACGCTACCAACCTTGTTCGGTGTCCAACGTAGAGAGGAACCTCCATTTCTTCCGTTCATTCGCTCTTTCAACCCTCAGAAAAACTTTAGTGAAAACTTACGGGATTGTCCTGTTGTTCCCGTTGATGGAGCTGTTGAAATTGAGCTGGTGCCAAACATACTAAAAAGATACAATATTATGCACTTAAAATACTTTCAGAAAACGCAATAAAGTCCTTTTGAAGAAAAGGTTCCAAGCGGGGACGGTGAAGTTCCTTGAACATTCAACAGTGAAAAGCTCAAATCGGGACCATGACGTATTAAAGTGTGATTTCAAAAAAAACCTCGTCATCGAAATTTTTGAAAGCTTGTTTAAAGGTACGAGTTGAGCAAACAGGAGGCGGCGAAACTCGTCCGAGGAGGCGCGGCCTTTCCGTTGGTTCGCTGGCTGTTCTCTTCCGCACACTCCATATAGAGACCGCGTCGTACGTCGTGAAATCCCAGTTGGGGGATCGGAGAGTCGTATTTCCAAGAAATTTTTCTGATAGATAGTTTTCTCACGGACGCTATAAGGGGGTGAACTTGCTCGTTGTGGGACAGAGTGGGGGTCGTACTTTGAGAGAAAGTTGCGGCGTTGGGAAGAGTTTCTCCCGGATGTTGGTTTTTCGCGATTTTTCCCGTTTCCGAGTGCCATATA